AGGATTTGCATTTTAAATGTATTTCGTTATTCCTAACTGGATGTGATTATTCCTAACTGAAGGGTGCTTTTGTAAACATTGACATGATTTAATCCTGTGTTATGACTACCTTTCCAGCAAACCAGGTTATTAGAGCTCTTTTGGGTTGATCCCATATCATCTGAGAAGTCACATTCTCTGTATAATAACCCTTCCAAGTTTTTACTTCAAATATGCCTTGCCACAATGATTGGCTGTTGTGGACACATTATGATCTATCAAGCTTCATTGCATGCTTTTTTTTATATCATGGTTAATAGGATTCTGTTATTAGCTTCTCTCATGTGTAGGGTGTCGTTTGGAATCTTTTTTTGTCCACCTTATGCTCAAGATCTAAGGTAGGCAACAGTTGAATAAGGTCTGAAACCTTTTTTGTGTCTTTGGCCCTGCCTTTTGTTAATATTTCTGCATTTATTTTGTGTACATTGAGAGTGAAAGATGGCTGTACAATACATGGAGAGTATCACAAAGAACAAGAAACATATATAATGACTTTCCATATCCTTTTCACTCACCACAATTTTTGCTACTAGTATTCATAGTACGTTATTTCCCTAACGCTTTTGTGGAAAGATAACCTGATAGATAAAATAGCTCCCATCAAAAGGAACTCATTGAGTAAAGTTCTCAGCAGAAATTTTATATGAAATTATAAACACAAATATAACATGCTGACGCAGATTTTCTTTTTTTTTTAATAAAATAAGGGTTGGATGAGAATTGAAAAAAAACCCAACTAGTAACAGAAACATCAAAAAAGGGAAAGATGATAAAAATCATGTTGTGAAAATACATAAGCTAAATGAAACAAATCCCCAGAAAACTGCCTCCATTTTAAAGGCTGACCTTCGGATATCAACCAACAATATCTCTTTGAAAGCTTGAACTGCTTTCCCTGTGCTGCATGTGTATGGAACCAATGTTATTACATTCCAGATCTCATCATTTTTTTTTTTTTTTAAAAAAAAAAAGCCTTTGTCTCATCTCGCTGGTGCTTTTGTTGTCATCTTACAGAATGGAGATGTCAGTGTGGAACACCTGAGCCCCAACCTTCTTCCTACTTAGCTGGCTGACATAAAGTCACACCATTGAACCTGGTCAAAGACTTTGCACTTTGTTTGTACCCCCCCCCCCCCCCTTTCCTTCTCCACCCTCTAAGTGTCTGTCTACATCTACACCCTCTTGCACTCTTGTGTAGCGTACAATAGTGTGCACATTGTTGTACATAAACTAGAATGACTAGATCAAAAATGCTTGGTGTGTACTAGCTGAATGGTAAGGCTGCCAGGCTTGATTGGCGACTTAATTTGTTATCAACTGTTATGTTCATTGGTGGGTTACGATTTTGTTTACATTCCATTTTGTTTCCCTAATGATATTTCATTGATTTGTTTGCTTGATATGTCATGCATATAAAAAATATATTTCTAGGAATATCATTGTTTTTTATTTTATATTGACTTGCCAAACAGAATAATGTACACTAAGTTTAAGATATAGAGTGAATCTGTTGGATCATAAGGAGTGATTTGTTGAATCAGTTTACATTTCTCCATTCACTTGTCATAAATGTATGTCATACCAGAAGGAATAATTAATTACCTAATTTTTGTGAAGCATTGTTTCAGTGAAATTCTTAATTTATAGACCATTATAGATATTACTTTAAAAGAGACTTCTTAATTAAGTAACATGAGAAGTTGCAGACATCTCCAGATGTTAAATGCCACAGACATGTTTCAATGGCAATTTAAAAAAAAATGTTTTTTAACTGCTTAGAATTAGGGAGATCCCATTGCTCAGACATGCTGGGAAAATTGGACAGAAAGATCTCATTGCTAAGAGAATTAACAGGGAGATGTCATTGTTATGAGTCTTAACAGGGAGATCTCACTGTTAGGAGACTTAACAGAGATATCTCATTGCTGGGGTGGCAACACAATTTTGCTTGGGTTATGTGCACACATTTTTTTATAATGTGAAATATTTTATTTTTCAGTTCTAAACTATTTTTTTCCTTACAATTTCACCATAAAGATTTCTCTTTTCTTGACGCCTTGTGCAGGAGCAACTATGTTTCTTGGAAAAACTTTCTATTGTAAGTTTATAAGATTGACTGTATGAAGAGATTTGAATAATTGTATTGGTACTGACAATATAGGCCCAGGAAAGTTTCATTTTGTGATAACATTTTCTATTTCTATCCATATTGTGAGTTCATAAGTTTGACTGTATGAAGAGATTTTAATAATTGTATTTAAGTATTAGTACTGAAAATATAGGCCCAGGAAACTTTCATTCTTTAATTTGCTTTTTTTTTCTAGAATTGAAATTTTTCTAAATCTTGTATAAAGTTAAGTTCCCCTTTCAGACCTTCCAATATATAGGGCAGATGATGTTAAGCTCAACTGTTTCTTTGTCCAGCAGTAAATGAGCAGGGTGTCATGTGGCCAGCACAAGGAACAACTGCCTTTACTTTCCCCAACTAAAGTCAGGGTGTCTTCAGGGGCTCCAAGGTTTGGAAGCCAAGCTCTTAACCACTCAGCCACCGCGCGCCTGAAAGCTTGTATATATATTTTTTAAATGTAATGGAGAGAGGGGGGAATGGGGCCTGTTTTATGAACACATCTAAAGTTTTCAATTGTGTATGTTATATTGAAAACTAATGTTAAAAAAATGTTCATATATACTGTTCAGATCTGGACTTCATATGTTCGAAACAAGCTGAATGCTCATTAGCCCACCCCCAAAAGATATAATGTCTTATAATATTAATATTTTTTTGAAAATTTCAACAAACAGATGAGCAGACAGTATCATGCCTATACCTTTTATTCAGACCAAAGAATATATGAAACAATTTTCAAAAAAAAAACAAAAAACCATTCATCTCCTCATTTTCAGATTTTGCTATTTTGTCATCTCTCAACATTTCACCTGAGCCAAATGTATTCTGCTATGTATTATCTTGTCTCTTGCATTATTCATAATCAAAATGTAATTTATTGTCATTGTTGAAGATCGACTGAAATAATGAAGTCTGCAAGACGCGTGTGCACCCTCGTAACCAGAGCTCAGAAAAAGAAATGCTTAGTGAGAGTGTGTCTGTTATTGGAGAGTTGATGTATTCAATGTATACCCTCTTTTTCAGTATATTATTATATCAGTTATACAGGTGACTATTTTGTGTGTGATCTATATCAAGCAGAAATGGAGTGGACCTTACTGCCTTAATGAGCACTTACAGTGCCTTTTTAAGTTGATTACATTTTTTTTTTCTCTCTCCTCTCTTTTTGTTGTTTTTTTTTTTGCTATTTTTAATTAAAACTAATTTATAAAGTATGTAAATGGTCCACTGCTCATTTTATGTTATAATATTTGTGTTTATTGTCATTACATAAATGCATTTTTTTAAATGGTGGATGGTATGTAGTGTAATTTAATGATTGGACAATGTATCCTTACAATTCAATAATACAAGTATTAGCAATGTACCTTTCTGTTTTGTTACACTTGTAAAGAATGTAGATCTACTGAGTTATGAACCATATAAAAGTTATATGCTGTTGCTTTTTTGTGTAACTATGTTGTAATTTATCTACTAGCCATTATATATTTTTGTGTGGGTAGAATATATTTTGGGTAAAAAAAATATCTACTTGAACAGGAGAGGTAATTTGTTATTTTTTAAAAAGAAAAACATATTTTGAGTTACTGCACTTTTATCATAATTTCTTGGCTGAAAAGAAGATAGCTGGCTAAAAAATTTTTTCCTAAGTTTAAGGTACTAAGAACCCCCCCCCCCCCCCCCCCAAAATAATTTTTTTTGTCAGTTACAGAAACAGAGGCAGAACAGTTAGAGGCCTGAAACTGACACATTGCCTCTGATAGGTCAACTTGTTAAGATTTAATTTTGACAAAAACTCAATAACCTCTGCTTTACTAACTCTAGTAGTTTGTAGATGAATCAACCTTCTAATGTAATGAAAATGAAATTTGCTCTAGGTCCACACAGAGATCAAGGTCATGTCTGCTCTTTTTCTAATAATTTTCTGTAAGCAGCAAGTATTCTGTTCTTATGATTTTTTAAATTTTTCTTAAATCATTTTGATCTTTTCATGAAAATTATGACAACTAGTTGTTTTTTTCCCCCCAGTTCTTCCTGATAAAACAATTCACACTTTATGCTTTGTATTGTCAGAATTTTCCCCTAAGTTGGTTGGGGGTTGTTGGGGCTGTTATTTCATATGTTGATGTCAAGTTGATCAACAAATTGTTAGAGTCACATGACTTACACAAATTTACTTGTCTTATAGCATCAACAAAACAACAATCAACAAAATGAGTTTTTCTTTGAGAGTTTCGAGTAGAGAATATTGTATTTATTTTCTACTTTTTAACAATAATATAAAAATGTTCACTATCTGTTTATGTATACAGCTTTAAACCAAGTCCTCTTTGTTGAATTTCTTTATTCTAGAGTTATTTTTTTAAAATAATAAATGAAATTGAAATAGAACACAAAGGTGTTTCTATGGCATTTTTTTTTTTGACAATTTAAAAAAAAAAGAAATATTTTAGGGGAGCTAACTAAAGAAAATAATTTCTGTTCCTATGTCGCTGCTAGTTGTTGTTTTGTTTTTAGTTCAATCATAGCAATAAAATATCAAGATTGGTTTTGGCTGCTCAAATTACTTGCACAGCTTTTGGTCAACCATATTTGCAGTTTTGATTTTTGGCTTTGTGATGCCCATAGCCTATAATCTGAAAGTGTAGAAAAGAATATATCCATATGTAATGTTATTAAAAAAATGATGGACATTTTTTTTTTATTTACAATTTTGTTAAATGTTTGTTTTATTTTACAAAATCTTGTTTCTGTATACATATGTTTGTTAAAGATGATTTGCCAAAGTTCTAATTTTAACTTTTTTTTTTTATATCTGTGATGCCTCAACAAGTCTTGATGGACAAAAAAAAAAAAAAAAATCAACCAGACTATGATAATTATTTCCCACAAACTGGAGTTATCTATTCCCTATACTTATGCATTTGGGTATTTTTCTATGTTGGTTCTGTGTTTTTTTTTTAAATCTTTGAAAAGCTGGGAGATTTGTGAACAAGATAATATGTCTTCTTTAAACATAATAAATATTACAATAGGTATCCACAATATTTTTGGTTTAAGTTTTTTTTTTTGTTTTTTAGGTTGTTATGGTACGTTTTCAAACTAATAAACTAGTAATGCTTTTATTCCTGGTCATGTGCTATGAGCTTCGTACTGTTGTCAGGATGGTCCAGGGTTTGAACCCTGAGTTATTAAAAAAAACAACAAAAAAAGAACATGAACTAGAATTACGAGATGTGAACACTGATTGTAACAAGTTTACAATTTAGTTTTTTGGAAAATAAATAAAGGAAAAAAAAACAACACTTTTGGCTATTGGTAGTTTTATAGTTAAATAGGGTTCACCTGCTGGTACTCTAGACTAGACAAATAAGTAAGAATGAATAAACTCTGGTTTGAATGTTACTCTCTCTTTATTTTTTTGTTTCTTTCTGAAACTCTTCTTTCTTTCACATTATTTTTTTTTTGCTTCTCTCTCTCTCTCTCTCACACACACACACCCATTTTGTTCTCTTTTTTTTTCTGTTCTGTTTCTTTCTCACACACTTTCTTAAAATTATTTTTTTTTCACTTATGCACTCACACACGTGCATGCTCTCTCTCTCCCTCCCCCCATCTCACTCTCGCTATTACAAAATTTGACTCTAAGCCATCAATTCACTCTGGACGTTGTGTAATAACATTAAACACTCACGTCTGTCTCTTCCTAGCACTTGTCATGTCACATCTAGAAATGTGGCATCAAATTTTCAATGAGAGCAAAGGAATGAAATAAGGGAATGCAATGACCAATGCATGAACCAGTGCCCCTTAGATACTTGACAACTCTTGTCAGCAGAAACGCTGATTCAACTGAACCAACCATTAGACTATGATTAGACCATCCAGATGTCTTAAAACAGCTTGATCTCTGGTTGGTAGGTGCATGCTTGCGAATACACTAACTATAACTTTAAATATAATGTCACATCATAATGTGATGACCTAATCCCATATCATCATGGCATGTCCTCATGTGATATCATAATGACATCATAATGTTATGACATAATGTTATTTCATCATGTCATGCCATCATAATATCATATTATAATGTCACATAATATCATGTCAGAATGATATTTATGATGTCATCATATCATCATGGCATGTCATCATGCCATATCAAAATATCACATTGTAATGTCATTCTATAATATCACATCATAATGTCACATAATAATGTCAGATCATAATGTCATGACATAATATCACATCATAATGTCATGACACAATATCACATCATAATGTCTAATATCATGTCAGAATGATATTTATGATGTCATCATATCATCATGGCATGTCATCATGCCATATCAAAATATCACATTGTAATGTCATTCTGTAATATCACATCATAATGTCACATCATAATGTCATGACATAATATCACATCATAATGTCATGACACAATATCACATCATTATGTCATGACATAATATCACATCATAATGTCATGACATAATCCCATATCATCATGGTATGTCATATCATAATAATGTGTCATAATGCCATATCATTATGTCTCATCATGATATCATGTCATAATGCCATTAATGATGTCATCATATCCCCATGGTATGTCATCATGCCATATCATATCATGCCATATCATAATGTCATATCGTAATATCATGTAATATTTCATAATATCATATCATGCAAATTCATAATTTCACATTATATCATGTTATAATGCTATTAACAATTTCATATCTTATAATGCCCTATTATATAATGCCATATTATACTATCATGTTATAATAATGATAATAAGGCTTGTGTTTAAGCCTGAAGATTAAGGAGTAGTGCAGTATTTTGCTTGGCTATACAGTCCCAGCTGTGACCTACATATTTTTTCACATCCTACATAACAGTTGTCTGCCTGTGGTTGGTTAAATTTTTCTCTCCTAACTGACGATACCAGCGTTGATTCCACCAGAATGTGGTAAACAATTACAGAGAGAAAGAGTTAAGGTTGTCTTTCCGCCGTCCTCGGTTGTAGATATCTTTTTGGTTTCGAAATGTGTATCCCTCGGCCTATGTATTAAACCTTCAGCCGTCTGCTGTCAGGGGCTCTTTTCTATGCCAGTTAAAGCAAGCTGAAGCCATATTTTCATAGTGTCATATATGGCAATGCCTATGTCTTAGATTCCGAATATTAAAGATGTGTGCAGGGTTTCACATGGACAGTAGCCTACATGGCAATCCAGTTGCGACCTACATATTTTTCCACGACTGATGCAGACGAAGCAATTGTCCGCTGGCGCTTTATTTAAGTTTTCTTTCTGTCTTCTGCACTTGTCTTCAATTATGGCTTTTCTATGAATCTCAAATGTTTGTCCCGCAGCCTTTGTGATGTCATATAATTACATATCATAATATCATATCATGATGTCATATCATAGTGGCATATTATAATATCATATCATGATGTCATATCATATTGGCATATCATAATATCATATTGTGATGTCATATCATATTGGCATATCATAATATCATATTGTGATGTCATATCATATTGGCATATCATAATATCATATTGTGATGTCATATATCATAATATCAAATCATGATGCCATATCATAATGGCATATTATAATATCATATTGTTATGTCAAATCATAATGCCATATCATAATACCATATCGAAATGTTATATCATAATAGAATATCATAATATCATCTCATGATGTCATCATAATGCCATATCATAATATCATATCATGATGTCATATCATAATTGCATATCATAATTGCATATCATAATATCATATCATGATGTCATATAATTACATATCATAATATCATATTATGATGCCTTATCATAATATCATATTATAATATTATATCGTGATGTCAAATCATAATGCCATATCGTAATATCATATCGAAATGTTATATCATAATAGAATATCATAATATCATATCACGATGTCATCATAATGCCATATCATAATATCATATCATGATGTCATATCATAATGGCATATCATAATACAATTTCATGATGTCATCATAATGCCAAATCATGATGTCATATCATGATGTTATATCATAATATCATATCATGATGTCATATCATAATACCATATCATGATGATGCGGATGTTCATGTCGCCCTAACATTGCATCTTCCTAAAACGCATTTTCCCATTTGGTTGAATCAAAAGAAAGAAAGAATAAAAAAGTATTATCACATTAAGTTCATAAAGTTTCCCTAATTCTTTCTGTCACAACGGCCTCGGATGTCTAGAAATGTGAACCCTACTGCTGGAGGCGATGTGACCGTAGTGTAGAAAAATGAAATAGGAAGAAGAAGAAGAAGAAGATCTTTCATTTTGAGTTAATAGAATTCAGCTGATCAAATAACCAGTGCTATTGAACCACACTTTGACGTGTAACAGACAGATCAAAGAAGAAAGAAAGAAAAAGAAATGGCACAAAAAGATATGTTCTGCCTTTTTTTTTTCCCCCACCCTCTCACCACGTTGCCTAGAAATAAAGGGAAGTAATCGTAATGTCACCAACAAAGGGAGACAACAGAATAAATTATAAACTTCAAAGGAAATAAAAATAGAAATCTGCGCGCGTGTGTGTGTGTAATTACGTGGTTAGTGTAAGGGACGCTAATCTTGTCAGTTCGAATTAACTCTGCATGACGCCACTAGTGACGGCTCAAAGAAAAGATACACCCGTTAAGATCTATACGTCTGCTGTCTGTAACGACAAATTTTTGTAGAAGTTTGGTATACATTATTTGACAGTTCGTTCATGTACAGATTGATAACATAAAGTATTCACACCCTAGCAGATTATTGCGGACGTATTACGCAATAACCCATCATTTTATTATGACCTATTGGCTATGCAGTGTTTCCTATAATGGGCTACGCGTACCCTCAGAGGTACGGGAAGAGTTTGAAAAGGTTACGCGTTACACACAGTTAACTATGCTGATTTTAACAAAAATACCCATACAGTTTTCAAATTAGAATAAAATATAAGCTTTAGATCCTTTTCACGATGTATGTTTTTGCAAACTCAAATACGGCGCTAGTTTACATTTTAAGGCTAGTTTCTATAAGATCAGGAAATGGATAGGAGTGTTACAACTTTCGTCGACAAATTAAAAACTAGTTTTTTAAAATAGAATATCCGATGAGGTCTCTGTAACGTACAAAAAATAAAATTCACTAATTGAATACTTGATTGTGATAGAGTAATTATTGTTTTGCGTATGTAAAAAAAAAGTTCTTCTTTCAAACCTTGTGGTCTAAAGGGCAGATGATGTAAAGGTCATCTGTTTCTGTGGCCTACACTTAACGAGGGTGTCACATGGTAAGCACAACAACCAGCCGCCTTTACTTTTCCCAAACTAATGTTAGGTACCCATTAGAAGTGGGTGGACTCAGGGGCGCCGATGATTCCGAAATTAAAACTCCCAGTCTTCACCAGGATTTGAACCCCGGATCCCGGTTCGGTAGCCAAGCGCTTTACCGATCAGCCACCTCGCCTCCTTTTGTATATATGGCGACATAAAAATACCGGTAACCTAATTTTGATTGTTATTCAAATAAATCCTTTTTTGTAAGGGGGTTGGGGGTGGGGGCGAGGGGTACTCGGTGTTACGAAAATTCTAGAAGGGGTACGCATAGATCAAAAGTTTGGGAAACACTTGGGTATTGTAACAACTGTCAATAATCAATGCACAGGCTAGGGCTGCGTTATCTCTTTTTGTCTTATTCTTCCCCGTTCTCATTATGGAGTGATCATACGCCTAGCTCTCTATTTGTGCAGTGATTTCTACAAAACTTATATCAACTCACTCTGTCTGTCTAAGTAAACAAGTATGAACACGTTATATCTCCCACATCCATTCTCGGATAAGGTTTCATTGCTCCTAATAATACATGAATAAAAAAACAACATTTATTTTTTTTTACCAACAAGGGGAATTAATGTTTCAGCATTCAGAGATGAGTGGGTTTTGTCCCCTTAGAT